AAATGATTGTTTAACTACTAATCCATACCAGTAATACCAGTATCCCATCAATTATCATACCAGTATCCAAATTCAAGTTGACTACCCCAATCTATCCAATCGTTTCATTATCTCTGGTTATATGATCCCAATGATTGGGCAAATAACACTGATTATATACCTGCTACAATGTGCTGCCCCAGCAATAAGTTGGCAAAAAAAACGCCAACTATACTCATAGCATCTCATAGCATTTTATATCAACCATAAACCAAGGCAAACCTAGTCATCAACCAAGGCAAACCAAGTCGTAAACCAACTAAGCTAAGGATTGGGGGCACCACCTCGTGATCACATCTCTGGTTGCTTACATATCCCATCAGTATCGTGGGGATTCCACCAACCCCGAACACGTGACCCTCCAAATTTGTGGCTGGTCAAAACCGATATTCTACGGTGAATTTTTCCCACTATCCCATAGACCATTCAACAGGGATTAAATACAACCTTTTTCGTTGGTGAAATTCATTTAAATCCCCATGAATCACCATAGAATCCCATTTCATCATCATTTCTGGTGGTACTGTATCTCATCCTATTTCCAACGACTTTTTTGATCTCCAGAGATCCTTTCCCAACCGGAACCGCCCGGTTGGGCCTAGCCGTTTCAGCACCGGCTGCACCCGGCGACGGAGGAAACGCTGCTGACTGACAGTGTCCAGACAATCGAAAGTGGCCAACAAATCCAAAACCAGCACCTCCTGCGAAAGTTGGGGGATTCTACCAACAAAAATTGGTTTTAGTCACAAAGTGCATTTAACCAGTTAACCAGAAAAAACAGAGTTTTACCATGAGAGATGGGGAAGTCCAGCATGAAACATGGCAAGAAATGTGATTTGGCCAGAAAACACGGGGAACACGGGGATTTAACAAGCACATATATAGAATGATTCAACTATGAAGACTGTTGAGATGGGGATGACTAATTACAAAGTGGTACCCCATCGTTTGCTAAGTTACTTTATAACTCCAAGAACTGCTGGCCATGTGGGCGATATATCAAACTAGTTCCATGGAGTTATAGACCAACTTATGACTGGGCACCTTGTCCCGAAAGTTCGGGAGTTATCCACCTGGAACCCTCAACCAGGAAAAATTAGCCATGAACTTCTTTGGTAGTGACGAATCCATAGATGGTGAAACGACCATGGCTACCTATCAGAAATATGGCAATCCCACTATTTTGTGGCTTACTTCCTAATAAATATTCTAAATCCATACATCCATATATACTCACATTCTACTCCCATTAAATACTACATAAATCCCATTGTAATCCGGTGTGCATCCCATATTTTCCCATGTTTTTCATGGCTCCATCGGTTTTCGCTGTCGGCGCCGTCCTGGTTGCCATCTGCCGCACTGGCGCGACGCAGGTTGTCGCGGAGCTCCACGGCGGCCGAGGCAAGGTGGCCGTCGCAGGCCTGGCTTCAGGGTTTTATCCCCAGGATATGTGGTGATTGTGTGCCTGGGATTTATGGTAATATAAAATAATATCAACCTTTATTTTAAAAAATGATTATAGTTAATTACTTTAGAGTCTAGAAGTAATATCAACCAATCCAAAAAAGAAAAACATTGTGAAATATAGTTGAATTGGGGATTTAGGGTTGACTTATTTTGGGGATTATCAACCAATTCATACCTGGGGGGGCCCCTTCCTGTGGCGAACGGGGGATTTCACATGGAACCATTGGGATTTTGTAGCATGAGCAATTGCTGTTTACCCAGTACACATGTGAAGATATGACTGGAAAAGAAGGACTTATAATTTATAATATCTTATAATATCTTATAATATATTACAATATCTTACAATATCTTATAACCCCAATCTTACATATCCGAAAAGAAACTTAGCTAGTTAACAAATATTCCATTATTCCTATAGCAAAATATTCAAGGATTAAACTACCCCACCCCACCCCATATATATATATTATATTATATTAAATTATATTATATTATATTATATTATATTATATTGTATTATATTATATTATATTATATTGTATTGTATTATATTATATTATATTATATTATATTATATATATATACATTATATTTTATTAAATAAATTATATTATATTATATTATATTATATTATATTATAGTATATTAAATTAAATTATATTATATTATATTATATATATACAAAACGCAAAAATGAGCTAAAACGCACAAGCCACCCGGCACGCGGCGTCAGCAACTAGGCATCCAAGGTAAACCTATAGTCTTGGAGTTGCCAAGGAACTTCAGGAACCACCCAAAAAAAAACGTCTTCCCGATTCAGTAGTGGTGGATTTTGTGGGAGAATCAGCCAAGCCATCTCAAACCATCCAGCTACTCCAGGATCCACCTGGCAGGTGGCGCTCAGCGACACCACATCGGCCATGCTGTCCACGCTGTCCTCGCCCTGCGCGGTAGTGGGATCACGATGGGTAATGATGGGTATATAATGGTTATTAGATCTTATTAGATCTTATTAGATATTATTAGATCGATATTATTAGTAAAGTAATATGGGATCATAATGGATAATATGGGATCATATCATGGGCATCTCATGGCCATAGTAATATGATCACGTGATGCTGCCCTGATCGGTGGATCTATGAGTTGCATTTTCCACAAACCGGATACGCGGGTCCGGCTGCTTGATGAGGAGGTCAGCTTCAATAGAAAGGAGCCAACCAGCAAAATGGGAGTATGGAGTATGAGATCAACGACCCACCCATGGTGCCACAGTAGTTGCGTCTCAATTGGCATCATCGTCTCGAATGTTCTATAATTTCCTTCGATTTCACAAATCTGTCATCTGTACTGGCTCGTGTAAATGTAGCTAGTATCAAACATTATGGACATATGTCCCTACAATCCTGGAAAAGGATGATGACATTTGGCGCCATCGACCGTGGCGAACATGTCTTGAATCAGCTACCCCGATAGCATAGCTGCATTTTACAACTCAACACCTTCCACAGGGCCCGATACTTAGATGTACCTCCCGGTTTTTATGTGGTTTACACCCCATATAGAACCCATGGGCAACTGGGGATATTCCTTTTCCATCCTTTTTTCACTGGCAAAAAAAGGTGTTATCTGGCTGAATAATAATCATTCACAAACCTGAAATCCCCCAAAGATCTCGCATGATCTCCCCATGGACTGATTCATCCAGAGGTTCCCCACCAGGGGCCCTGCCCGCCTTGTTGTAGAGCCACCAGGCACGTTGCCAGGCACTGCCCCGTTGCGCGGCACGGAGCATGGCGTTGAAGGTGTAGTCATTGCCATCCGCCATCTGGGGAATCACGTGGGTTCGAGCTGCGATTTATGTAGGAACCGCCAGAAACAAAAAGGACTTTCTTAAAGGGGGGAGCCGTATTTAAGCAGGTGTATATTGTATACACATGTGTATCTATATATATATATACATATATATATATATATGTTATGTACTACAGTACGTTGTACTACAAATCCGCAATGACGCAATGAATCTCTTGGTCAGCTGACTCAACAGGAACATACAGGAACTGGACAGGCCAGCAGTTTTAATACTGTATAATGTATTATATTGGGATATTTTCGGATCACGTGGACATTCAAAAGAGCTACTGTCAACGGTCCAACTCCCCACGGTGCCAGTTTTATGCTTTTGGAAGCCACGTCAACCGCAGCCTCGTTCACCAACAGCGCCACCTGCCACTGGCCATGTTCCGCACAAGCGCTGGTCACGGCGCTGAAGCTCAAAACGTTGGTCTCCAGAGTCAGCCATCCTCCCAAGGGACTGCAATTAATGTTGGTAAAACAATGTCATAAACCACCTATGACTAGGAATGGTAACCATACCACCTCTTATTTATGGTGATGACTGGGGGATGGTGCAAATGGCATTGTTTTACCCACATAGAAGACACTCAACAGTTGTAAGATGTTGTAAGTGGCTGGAAAAACGTCATGTAAGTGATATTTGTCACCTTAGTTCTAATCCTATTTATAACGGTTAAGGACCATAAGTGGGCCCTAAAAAAAGTGGCAACCATCAGGAAAAAAAACAAAGGACACCAAGAATGACATCGCAAGGCATTGACAACTGTGAACATCTAGCAAAACAATCAGATTGCTCGACTTGACTTTCTGACTCCAAGAAGAAAAACAACTGGTAACAAGAAAGGTCGTCATCCAAAATCCTTTGGTCAACCTGCCCGCCATTGCTGGATATCCTTCCGCCTGAAAACCAGGATCAATCAGATTGGTCAACTGATTTTCTGACTGAGAAAATAACACAGATGGGTTGTAAACTCAGATTAGGCATGGGCAAGTTCAAGGTACCATGCCCCTAAATGGTTGACAAAAAAAACAGGGCGGAAGGAGATGGCACCTGTCCCTGCAAAGAGCTGCATGGCCCAGCGCCAACGTTGAGCCTGGACAATCCCATTGATGTTTTTTGGTGGAGCATACAAAGTCATGGCCCGGAATAGCACTTATAAGTCAGTGATATATAGTCATATAGTTATACACATATAACACCACTTATGGTCAAAATAACTGAAATAACCACGTCTAGTAGAGACCTTCAACTGCAGGAACCCATTTTTTGGGGACATTGTTTTTATCAAGAAAAAACTTTGGATTTGCCATAAATTTGTACGTATATACACGCTACATTCAGGGATCCAAACGTTGATTTGGAAAGGAGATATGTCAGATATGATAGTGATATAACCAGTCTGGCCATGGGGATGTGGCCAACCTGAGACGGCCAATACCGGTTGACCCAGCAGGACCGAGCAGGATTTTCGAATCCAATGGGATCCAATCACCCTCACCGTGACAGGTTGTTTCGACGACAAAAAATTGAGGATTCCCCCAAAATAAATCAGGCTTGTAAGTTATTAAAGAAACAAGAGATCTATTTATGCCACAAACCCAACAGCTATATTAGTTATAAGCCAACATTATTTGTAGTTGACATCAGTTTTGGGAGGCATCCACCCTGTCCTAGCGGCCTTCTCAGTTGCTGCACTGGCCGCCGTGTAGGTGATGATGTTCATCTGGAAGCAGCAGCCACCAGGCGGTCATGAGCCACATAATGGGATGTTACTTAAGTGGCAAGAAAAACACAAAATAAAACAAAACCAATAAATCATAGACTTCTATAGACATGAATAGACATGAATAAACATCAATAATTAATTTAAAATGTATCCAAATGAATCCACATTTATTATTTTTCTAAACAAAAAGTGTCTAAATTGTTTATCCATGTTCCATTCATCATGTGCCCTTCCCACCTGCACACTTCGCAGGCTTCCCAGGCGCAGCAGCTGCAGGGCATGTGTCCAGCGGAAGCCCCGCCCGAAGGCACTCAGGGAGGTGCCATAGATCACCACGTTGCAGCGAAGGCCCTGATGGGATGGGAAATCAAAACCACAACATTCATGAAAATAGTTGAATAACTATGAAATTATGAATATATATATATTAAAGATAATTATAGACTATCAAAGATTATTCAAGAATACTATAGATTATTAAAACTTAATATAGATATTATGTATTTAAAGAACCAATAAAGAACTAAGAAGCAAAAATCCCAACAAGTCGCTGCCAGTGACCTCGATGGCACTACAGTTTGAGATCCACACGGCGGTCACAGAAGACCTGCTTCTCCCTGGTTTGTTTCGGTTCTAAAATGAAGCAAATCAATTTTTGGAATACGGTTCGTTTCTCACTCAATCTCATTGGATCAAACAAAACCTTTTTTCCCCACCTGCCAGGTGAGGGTTGTTAGATTTTATCAGAGCTGTTCTCCTCATCCTCCTCCTCCTTCTCCTCCTCCTTCTCCTCCTCCTTCTCCTCCTCCTCCTTCCTCCTCCTCCTCCTCCGCGTCCTCCTCCTCTTCTACCACCTCTGCCTCCACTTCCACGTCCACTGTTGCCTTGCCAACTCTTGGCCAAGCTCTTCGCCAACTTCGGAGCTCAGTGCTCACTGCTGGACCTCAACCTGGGACCTTCCTAGCTCAGTGCACACCGCTGGACCTCAACCTGGGACCTTCCTAGCTCAGTGCGCACCGCTGGACCTCAACCTGGGGCCTGCCGAGCTCAGTGCGCACCGCTGGACCTCAACCTGGGGCCTTCCGAGCTCAGTGCGCACCGCTGGACCTCCAAAGCCAGATAGAATGCCAGAAGATATGCCAGTAACAAAACGTATAAATGTCATGGTGGGGATCACTCGAAGCAAAGTAATTTTACTCACCTCGTTATACCCTCAGTTATACCCCCAGCTGCGCGCTGGTAAACTAGCAGAACTATTGAACATCACCATGTTCCAAGGTAAATCATCGAACAAACTGGACTTTCCAACCTTTCAGCAAACTGACAGTTTACCCTGTGGTAAACTAACACAGCTATGGAAAAACATCATTTTCGATGGGTAAATCCACTATAGATGGACCATTTTCAATAGCTATCTTAAAATTACCAGAGGGTATATTATTGTATCCCGATCAAAAATACCATTGCATGAACATGATTAACATGATATATCGCCACGATATCTTGTAAACTGTCACTATGTTCAAAGATAAATCATCAAACTAAATGAACTTTCCAAGCCTTTCCATAGCAAAGTCTCAGTTTAGTTGATGGTATAATCAATGTATAATCAATACTTTCCATAGCTAAGTTAGTTTATAATTATAACAATAGCGTATGATACTTATAATAATTCTATTGTAGGGCTTATAAACCAACAAACATCTGCCGTTTAGGGCACCATCCTGAGAGCATCCATCCCTTCCCCAACCCCCAACGACTCACCTCCCGTTCCAACGCGTCGGCCAGCTCCAAGGCTCGTAGCCACTGTCCGCCGCGCTCACATGCGCTGCAGCCGGCGCCGTAGCCGGGAAGGCGCTGCTGGCGCGAGGCCAGTGGAGAGAAACAGAGACATCAGACATGGAATTTCCCCAACATGAATGTAATTGATTATGGAGGTTATAATTCGGAAAAGTATAGTAGGTGACCAGCAGATAGATTTGTGTTTCCTCATTTTTGCCTTGGAGAATCTGCGAATTCTAACTGCTAGAAAAACATCGGTTTAGAATCGTTTTATTATACGCATTTCTAGCACATAGATGTTTTTTTGCACATGGAATTGTTTTCCCAAAATGGATGGTTTACAGTGGAAAATTCTATAAAAAATGGATGATTTGGGGGTACCACTAGGAGTTTGTACAATTCTAAGTGCATGGTTATGATATGGCCTTCTAATTCTTAGTGAATTCTTGTAATATCACTACCGGCAATTCTTAGTGCACCCGCAGCAATTCTTAGTGCACTCCCCAGGTATCACCGGGAAGCAATTCTAAATGGTTGCCACACTGATTTACAAATTCTAACTGCTAATCACTTACTAAATATCGGATGATGATGATGATGATGATGATGATGGAGATCATCAAAGGAGAGTCTCAAAAGTCATCGTCCTCGAAAGATCCTCTTGGGTCAACAGATCCGCAGTATATGGAAAAAGTGTCCATTGTTCCATATTGTTCCATTGTTCAATGGGGAGATTTTTCACAAAAACAAACAAAATAACAGTTAAATAGCAAACGACAAAAACAAAAAACAACTAAAACAACTAGCATCACACTTTCCAAGGTGAGATGGCTCTTTTTTTCAGCTTAAGTTTTTGATCCTGAGCCTGGTCAGTCTTAGATCCCCTGCACATAAAATATCCGGCATTTATGACACCATCCAAGGTTTCCAACCAGTGATGTGCCTGTGGTTCGCTTGGGGGCATCTGGTCCTTGTGGCAGCTGCTGCATATTTTTGGGTTACATTGCGACAGGTCTAGCAAGCTCAGCAACGCGAAATAGCAGATGAGTCTTCATCCACACAATGCCAAAGTCAACTGGTCATGAAGACGACTTTGAAGCTGTAGCGTTGCTTCGTTGGATTAATGAGAGATGAGAATTTGTTTGGATCTCCACCAGTAAAGCAAGACAGCTTCGACCTTCCAAAGTCTGACCAGCGAGGGTTTATGTTCAAAGGAGCCCAATCTTGGCTACAGTATGCTACAGGATTGTATATACTATACATCCTCAAACAAAGTCTTGACAACAACTTGTGTCTCTTGATTGCTGCACCCAAACACTAGTTGTTCCGATTCGGCATGGTTCATTCAAACGATCTACAACTGGACCAAGCATGACCAAACACACATATGTATTTATACTCATATAATCGTAAAACACCAGCAATATTATATATATATATATTATTTATTTATTTATTTATTTATATACATATACATGTATAACGTAGTTATCCAGTTACAGTGCATATATACATACATATTACATAACTATGCATGACCTTTCAACGATTATTTATCTATAATTACCCTCTGGTAAACTAACGTAACTATGGAAAATCACCATTTTAAATCGGAAAATCCACTATAAATGGCCATTAATTACGTATTTTAGGTATACAGTAATGCTCAACAAGGGTCCAGCAGGTGCACTGCGGCTTCCCATTGGGCACCCTCCTGCCGTAGGCAGCAGCCGCATCCCAAGAGGGGAACGTTGTTACCCGAGCAGAACTCGGCTACGGCACATTGTGGAACATCCCAAGTTAGATAACTGGAGCATATATATATATAATTATATATATATATATTTATTGACCAGCTAGTATCTTGTATGCACATGTATTCACATCCAAGTCCTTGCCAGTCTGGAGGCTAGGCCACCCATCCCCCAGAGGATCTCCCGCATGTCACTGGAGAAGCGCATCATATCCAGGTTTTTGGACCAGTTTATGGATGTTGGTACCTAAATATTTAAATAACTATAGAACTATGGCATTCATGGGGTTTAGAAAGCAACTTGCCCTCCAGTATACTTACATAACTATGGACCATCACCATAAACAACAGGTAAATCATCTCTAAGTGGCTATTTTCCATAGCTTTTTAATTTACCAGAGGGTAGACATCTTTGAGGGCAACAATTGACCAACTGAAATCCAATGGACAATTTTCCAGAATCAAAAGCATATTAGTTAGTTTCCCCATGTTGCCTTATCAACATGCCACTTTATTGGATATATCAATCCCCCAGTTTTGGATGGACTCAAAATATCATATAGTGTTGGTTTCTACATATCCCAAGTATCTATATCCGTTTGTTATATCCCAATCATATCCCGATTGTCCAAAAAATCACTGCTGACTAAAGCATTTTGGGTTCTCCCCATGTCATCTCCCCCTTTTTGCTGCTTAAATGAATCATATCCCTCACAAATCCCACTTTATTGATCAAATCACATCCAATCTTAAATCACAATTAAGTCACCATCAAATCACCATGAGATCCCAATAAATCTTAAGCTTCACCATCGCCTTCCGTCCACTTCGTCCTGACATGCAACGATGGCCATGCTGAAGAGCGCTGCATCTGCGCACACACCTGGCGGGACTCCGCTGGGACACCATGGTCTTTTTGGAGGGGGCCAGGGATTTAGGAACCTGTCAGTAACCTTACAGTTATGGCCATGGTTATTATTTATAACTGGTTGTATACCTTCCATCAATGGGGTTACTTCAGTACTTATAACTGGTATAACTCGGGCCATAACTGTAGTCCCCAAAGTGGCATGGTCAATCGGGTAGTCCGCAAACAGTTATGGCCATCCAGCTGGTTATGGATGATCCGCTCAGGTCCCTGGCTTGAACCGAGCGGAAATGAACAAATTGACAAATGGACATATTAATATATATATATGTCCCTACTTTGTTCATTTGTTCCAAGCAATTATGATTAATTCTGATTTTGTGAGTTGGTAAACCCATCCAACTGTAGATATATACACCAGAAACTCAGGGTAGCCTAAGTATAAGTAAGCCAACTGACCTGCACATCCTCCAAACCCAATGTGGCAAACCCAATCAGAGCCCATCCACGTGTTTATCAGAGATGGGCCGAATATAAACTATCACCAAAAAGAGTGTTTGTTGTTCGATTTACAACACTTATACTCAATTCTTTGACTCGTTCTCGATTAGGCAGCTTCAAACTCATTGGAAAATCACACATAATGATTGGTTCACGGGGATTCCTGCATGGATTAAGATAATCCCCGATATATTGGGCAGTCTACACCCCTGAACAAATCATCAACAAACAGCCACATGTCATGCTTCTGATTACAACATCCCATTCTATCCCCATGAAAAGGCAATAATGATGAACCCAAACATCATCTATATCTATCAGTTGTATCCCCCGCCACTTATGATTGCAAAACATCTTAACAAACACATGTCAAGATGCTGAACACCCTATAAATTCTGCTTAAATCTCCATTTCTGGGTGATTTTTCCCGTTGAACCATGGCTTTCAACAGGCGACCGCAGATCCCCTCGCAGCTCGTGCCGTTGAAGAGATCCAGGGCCCTGGAAAGGCCAAACATCTTTACAGCAAAACCTGGGGGGATCCCAAAGTCACTATAAATATTACATGAATATTTCAAATTTCATTAATATTACATAATAGCATACATTAGTATCGCATTAATATACTAGGATATGAAAAAATACGACTATACAGCTGTCATGTTGTTTCAGTACAACAATACAATAATAACAAATGCATGGTCTAATGACTGGATGATTTTGGGGTACCCACATGACAAAACGGAAACCTCCATATGGGATTTGGGGATTTTCCTCCAAGGTCCAGGAAATAGTGTTCGAACCAAATGGGATAGCACAAGACATCAAAAGATACCGCAGCTGGATCAAATGGCAAGTACCATGGAAGCTGGTGAAAATCAAAGATATCAAAGGATTCAAAAGGTACCCAAGGTGGCCCGACAAGGTGGCCTGAGTTGATGTTTTTTCGGGTTAGCTTCCATCATCAACCTTGGCTTCTTTCTTTCAACATCAGCTCAACTCAGCTCAACTCCATTTTTTTTCCGAATCACACCCTCGACCCGTTCCATCCCGCGCCTCTGCCAGTGTTTCCCCCGCAGCCACGCCGTCATCCCCAGGCCCAACAGCTGTGCATCCGTCGAAGACGCCGCGACCGCAAAGAGGTGAACCGCCTGGGTTGATCGTGCTGAATGGTGGTGAATACTTGGTGATGTAGTTCATGCCAGTTTTTCAAATATCACAGGATAAAACTGGCTAGTAAAATTGGTGATTTCAGACCTGCGGTCCAAATCCATTGGGAATCGTAAGTTGCATTCTTGCAGTGGCAAAGGCTCAGCAAGAGCAAATCAAAAATGATACTATGATGGATTCAAGATTATTCAAGTGTGTTTATATATCTTCAGATCACGCTATTGAACACAATTGTTGTTTCTGCTCTTTAGCTCGTCACTTGAAGAACTAGTTGGGATCACCGGAAACGAAGCTAAGCTTCACATAGCTCTTTGATAAGGTTTCTTGCCAAGCAATCTGCCCACCAAAAACGGTCTTCGCTGCACTTCGCGGCGCATAAAATACCATGGTTAGAGTCCTCAAAAATCAACCCTGAGCAACTCGAGTTAGTCCAGTTAGAACTGGGGTAAAGCACCAAGTAGAATCGCTGCGGTGCCTGTTGCCATTGCAAAGCGTTGCTGCAGGCACCAACGATGGTGGCGTAGGTCACGACCTAATTGCGTTCTGGAAAGGTGGGGTGAAAAAAACATGGTAAATTTGGGAGTTCAAACATCAAAATGGGGAGCCAACCAGCAAAAATGGTGGAAGATCGCCATAAATGGGTAAGTTGATCATCCTCAACTGGTTCTTGTTGATCAGCTGTGCCACATCAAAAAGGGCTCCAGAAAAACGTCCCGTTGGAGAAATATCACCATTGGATGCGCAATTCACAACCAAGCACCTAAAGGTGATGTCGGACCCCTGAGATATGGCAAAATCCCGACAAAGAAGGCAGCCCCAGCTATAAGTCGGTCTTAAGTTGGTATACAATTCCATCTAATCATAAACCAAATTGTGTACCGAATGGGGGGCTCTTCCGATACCAAAGCATGTCATTGACACCAAAGCAAAGCCCTGCGATGAGCAACGGCCCGAGATGCCACCCATCTGCCTCCATTGTATAGTCAACAACTTGCTGTCGCGCAATGACAAATCACTTCACAAAAACCTTGATGTAGGCTATTAACACATGTTGGATTGCACCAGTCGTTCTAATCCCCCATTGTTGATCCGTTGATCCTATCCGTATCTATCCATGAATCATACACAATCCTTTTCACCTCATCCCGCCCTGTGGTCCTCCAGCCACGTCACATCTGCTTGGAGTCGTCTTTGTGGACACGATTCAAAGAGGTCCAAGGCCTGAGTTGCAGAGGTCATTTCCTCATTCCCGTCCCGCTTAGTACCAGTAAGTTAACAAAAATGGGGATCTAATCATTATGTTGAAGAATCATTGTGAGAATTCATATGACTACATTTTAAATATCACTGGATTATCATTTGTGGAAATTCAACGTAACAATTGAAAACAAAAAACACTGAACATACTCATCTATAAATCCATCAATGCATTGATACGTCTGACTCTTATGAAAGTGTTTTTTTCTGGACCCATCTGAAGAAAAACGTCGTGTCCAGTGGGAACAGCCTCGTAGGTAAGTTTGAACATACTTATATTTTAAAAAAATGAAACCACCAACCAGTCTCAATATTTGAATAGGTGTAGCTGGAAATGGGGTGGACCTCAAAAAATGCTATTCTAGAGGAACAAAAACATGCTGTTGCTGAAGTATCAAATTTTGGCATACACCTATTTTCAGACAAATCCATTTTAATGACGGAATGGGAGTGAAAACTGATATCAACAAAAACACGGCGCTATCCAGTCGCTTAGTCAAAGTCCATTGCTGGCGGGGAAATGCTTAGCCACATTTGTACAGTTCCTGTGGTGGTTTAGTGTCATATGTACTACGAGTTGTTTAGCATATGGCCTACTTCAAAGACGCATTGCCTATGTCATATGTTCCCCCAAAGTTGCAGGTGCTCATGGTGCCCCCAATTATGACTTAATTGGATTGTAACCCCCAACTGTAGATAGAGACACCATAAATCATATAAATCCAGTCATTTACTAGCATAGCTAATCACCCCGTGCTAGCCTAGTTGTTAACCAACCAACTTAGCGTCCACATGTTGGCTCCACATTGGTACGACAGTACGGGTACAAATTGGTATGACAGTAAGTGGTTGTGTAACCCTTAGTATATACCCTCTGGTTATTTAACATAGCCATGGTAAAGATGGCCCATTTATAGATGGTGGAAATAGATGGTTTAGCTACGAAAAAGGTGATTTTCCATGGCTATGTTAAATATTGTTAGTCATAATCAGATGGTAAGTCCCTAAGTTGGGTTATCCCACCAAGAAACTGCTTCCCAAGTGGTTGAAATCGCACTGAGAGCTGTGTTGAAGGCCATGACATCTGGGCCTGGGGTAGCCGAAGCTAAGACATGATAAAACAAAATAAGGGCCCAAATAAGAATGCTAGCTGGTTAGTTAATAGGGATTACCATAATGGACTATGATAATCCCAAATATAGCGGGGAGTAGAATCTCCTAATCAACCAGGGTTTTGAACACTGCTCAATTAGTGAAATTCATGAGACTATAGTTTGGAGGTTCATGTTTACTATCAAACATATAAATATCAATATCCCCCAAAATCTCAAGCATTCCCGAAGTGTTTCTGGTTGGTGGTCGAGTCACTCCCTTGAAAAACAGTGTTGAAGCTGGGTGATGCGAAGAGGGCCGCATGTTTTGCAAGAGGGACCATTGCTTATGGATAATTTTCATCTACAGTCGTGGCAAATTGAGAAGTTCAACTATTGTTCTTCTTTAAAACCTAATGATGGCATAAAACTTGAAAGAACCTATTGGGTAAATGTGTTTTGGTCCTATAGGAATTGTACAAGACTTGGAGCAGTACAGGTCATCCACGTGAGTTCGATTCACACAAGGTGGTCCGCCCCTTGCAAACAGATTTGTAAAGACATATGTCTGTAGTTTTATCTGTATACCAGTAGTACTACCGCACAAGGCGGTGGCGGAAGTTTCAGAATAGGAAACCTATAGGAGACGTTGGTTGTTGTGAATCACGGATGGCAGAGCGAATCCGCTGATTGACCGAAAGGTGGTTGGAGTTGTGTTTGCTGGAATGGTTGCAATGGTTGCAGTGGTCACCTCACCCACAACTGCTGGATGTAGTGTGATGTACTGCAACTGTAGTTGTAGTTGTAGCGTAGTGGAGTTGTAGTTGTGGTGTAATGCAATTAGTGTAGTGTAGTTGCAGTCATATAGTTGTAACTAGTTGTTTTGTAGTTGTAGTTGTAGTAGTTGTAGTTGTAGTTGTAGTAGTTGTAGTTGTAGTTGTAGTTGTTGTTGTAGTTGTAGTTGTAGTTGTTGTTGTTGTTGTAGCTGTAGTTGTTGTGTGGTTGTAGTTGTTGTGTAGTGTAGTTGTAGTAGTAGTAGCTGTTGTTGTTGTAGTTGTTGTAGTTGTAGTTGTTGTTGTTCCTGTAGTTGTAGTAGTAGTAGTTGTTGTTGTTGTTGTTGTAGCAGTTGTTGTTGTAGTTGTTGTTGTTGTAGTTGTTGTTGTTGTTGTTGTTGTAGCTGTAGTTGTTGTAGTTGTAGTTCTAGTTGTAGTTGTAGTTGTTGTTGTTGCTGTTGTTGTTGTTGCTGCTGTTGTTGTAGTAGTAGTAGTTGTTGTTGTTGTTGTAGTTGTAGTTCTGGTTGTAGTTGTAGTTGTTGTGTAGTTGTTGTAGTTGTAGTTGTTGTAGTTGTAGTTGTTGTGGTTGGTGTTGGTGTTGTTGTTGTTGTTGTTGCTGTTGCTGTTCTCGTCGAAGTTAGGGTAGTTAAGTTAGTGAAGTTAGTTAAGTTAGTCAAGTTAGTTAAGTTAATCAGTGTCTACTTTTTCGACATCTTCACGTCAAAAAAGGCTCAAAAGCCTCAGTTTTTTACACTTTTGACTTTGAAATGTGCTTCGCGCCACAACGGCGTGCACTTTTTCGACACTTTTTCGACATCTGAACCTCCAAAAGTGGTCCGAACATGGTGTGTTTTGTGCATTTTGACTTGGAAATGTGCTTCGCGCCACAACGGCGTGCACTTTTTCGACATCTCAACTTCCAAAAGTGGTCCGAACCTGGTTTGTTTTGTACATTTTGACTTGGAAATGTGCTTCGCGCCACAACTGCGTGCACTGTTTCGACATCTCAACTTCCAAAAGTGGTCCGACGCTGAGGTGTTTTGTACCTTTTGACTTCGAAATGTGCTTCGCGCCACAACGGCGTGCAATTTTTCATCGCTCCTGTGGCCAGCTGGCTCCGCACCCGCCGCTTTAGCGAGCCTACTTTTCGACCCTCCGGAGCCACAAATCATTGGAAAAACACAGTGTTTCGCGACTTTCCTACCTTTTCGCGCATCTGTATCTTCTGTCTTCTTACTCTTTCTCTTCTGATCTCCTCACCTCTGCTTTTCAACTGTCCATATTGTCGGAAGTTTCACTTCTAAACTTCCTTCGACAATTATTTCCATAGCTGTATCAATAGTTATATCTCTAGTGTGTATATATATATAGTTATCACTATAACTGTATTTACAGTTTAATCTATAGTTAAATCTATAGTTGCATCTATATACGTTCATAACTATATCTATAGCTGTATTTTCGCTGTATCTATATAATTATATTCATAGCTACATTTATATATAGCCATCTATATATATATATATAGTTATGTCTATATTTAGTTTTATCTATATATAATATATAGTTATATATTATATAGTTATGTATAGTTAAATATATAAACAAAGTTATATCTATGCATAATTATATCAATAAAAAGAGTTATATACATGTTACAGATAGTTGTATCTATAGTTGTAGCTATCTTATATGTTGTTCAACCCCAGCTAGCCTGGTTCAACAAACTGATCTATCGTTGCCCCCATACCGAGTCGCATAGGCCGAAGTTCTTCATACTTTCAAACCTCAGCATCCGGGCGGGCTGGCGGTGGTTCCCCATTGCGACTGATATTGAGAGAGAGGGACGCCACCAGGGCCCCATTTTTACAGCGTTTTGTGATGCTGTTGTGATAAATAATGTTTATTTATACTCATAGTCCATAGTTTTTTGTTCTTGATTGTTCCTTTGCCTTTTTTTATGTTACTTTGTTTCTGTTGCATTGTTACATGTTGTATATTTCATTTGGTTCTGAAAAAGTTCATATAAAATACCATAGTAGGGGTGGAGATAGAGCCCATATCCTTGCTTCTACATTGTTTATTTTCTTGCAAACCATAATAAAAATAGACCCATGGCAAGTAGCAAATTCAATCTCTGTATCTTGACATGAACATGTAATATGCATATATACACAGTTGTGTTATGTGTGTTACATTACCAAAGAATGATTGATGACATAAGCTAAGCAAATCTCTATGTTAGACAAGTGCCCGTTTTGACATCACCATATAAATTTGTTCATGCAACTGTATCACTATTGCTTAGATTTGGTGGTTTCTACCAAAACATAAACACAAAAATACATCCTTGTAACATCATGGGAAATGCAGGCAGTTGTAGTTGCAAAGGTTATATCAGGGATTGAAACCTTACAGGACTCATTTTTTTGTCCCAAGGTTCTCCGGTGTGAAGCAACATGGTGGGTGTGAATCACAAGAGCCACTTAAAAAGAAATAATATCAAAAGTGCGAGTGCAGATCTCGATGGCTCTACCAAGTCTTGCAATCAAGTGCAAATTTCATCACAAAGTAAAAGTGTTCATGAAAAGGCACGGAATAAATCACTTTTCTCACATATGTACAGTACAAACTCATTTTCTCAACCTTTTAAGGCACATGGAAAATAATTATAAGAATATGGAAGAACCCGCCTAAATCAGTCTTACGAGCACGTAGCAGTGATCACCTTCAACCCATCACATGCATGGCCATTCCGGAAACTTAGAGTTTCATGTACGAACTTATGGCACTCAATTGTGTATACATGTGTATTCTTGTCAGTGGGGTCTACCTGAACTTGTACATGTTTCTTTGGCAAACCAACAATCCAAGCAAACAGGAAACTTTGCAGATAGTGTCACATACAAGCTGCACTAGCTACACAAGCAAATAGCATACATATATATATATATTTATATACACATATATACATATATACATAAATGGTGTGACTCTGGTGGCCTGGATATTGAAAATTCACCTTAACCCAAATGGTGTCGTGTATGTGTCAGCATGATTCTATAGGTGAGCTTGCGCAGGTGTCAACGACTCTGTTTGCACGGGCTGGACCCACCCTGCCAAAGCGAACCTGAAATAGGGCAAAAATATTGCCATGTGTCCAACGTTTCTCGCAGAAGTAACATAAAGGACATCTGTGCCACATGAAATGTTCAGGTTCCCCTCAAATCCTTGTCTCCATCAGTGGAATCAGAACCAGCAATGGTCAACCAGTCTCTCAGTCATCAGCAACATCACATATTGGACCTATGAGTGAAAAGGAATTATACATACATGACATTGTCACATACCCTGACATGGAGAGAATACCTTTTGTTTTCATCCTAACACTTATTCACAACATATACAAACCCGGAATCAAATAACCTCTATGTTTTCCATGTTTTTGGGTGGTTCTGGGTAAAACAATAAATCGTTAACATGGGCTAACCAGCCAAATTAAGGGCCATTTTGGTTTCAGATATGTTCAGAAACATTGGCCAACACTGTTCCCAGCTTTCATGGTGACTATGTTTTTAGGTATCCGGTTAATCGGTTACTTCCTTCCCAAATAAAAAATACTTGGAATCGCAATTCCCAAACATGGTTTCGCGTGGTTTCCCTACTGTAGTTGGTTTAAAAGTAGAATAACTAAGGTTTACGGTAGAATACATCGGAATAGGTCATGGTGGTTTTAATCTGTTTTAATATGTCACTGTTTTAATCAAACTTATACGGGGCACCACCTTGTACCTTTCAGGAACAGAGTGCCACTCACCACCGAGCTACACCTGCAGGACCACCCCCGCAGGAGCCGCGGAAGTGCGGCAGGATTTAAGCGCTGCAGTGCAAAAAATAACGTCAGGTTGGAAACGCCTCAAGACAGGTGCACGGTAGGAACAGTTGGGAACGGGGGACGTACATGCAAAATTATTCATATAATATACGTTGTGTGTGTGTTGTTGTTTTTTCCCCACGTATGTTGTTGCTACATTTGCTGTGTCAACATCTATTTACTTACTGTACCTATGAATCATTTTAAATTTAAAACGTTGGTAAGTGAAGAAAATGCATGCATTATCAACATACGATCCATGAATGTTGTGTGATGCATGTAGAATGTAAAGGTACATATCATCCAAAAACACGTTCGTTTCAAATTGAAACAACATGCAACTATACAGTTGTTGTTCCAAACATCACTGAAATCGTTGGTGTGCGTGCGGGAGCAAAGAGCTGCATGTTTTGAACTGCGTAATTAATTTGTTCTCTGATTTTCGGGAAAAATCATTCTCTGCAATGTCATGAAATCATATGGAGGTTTCCTAAAATTGGGGTACTCCCAAATCATCCATTTAAAAAGGGATTTCCATTATACACCATCCATTTTGGATGTCCCCCATTTTAGGAAACCCTCCACATCTGCCGCCAGTGATTTCCCATAAATCTGGACTACTGTTTCCCTCGTCTTTGCGACGCCTTCTCCTAAAGCAGGCGAGGAGTTGCACGGTTTCGGACCATGGCAAGTGCGTCACAGCCCAGGTCAGAGTTTTCACCTCGTTGGAGGATTGAAGGCACCCTTCTCTGATTGAAAAATGCATACCGAAGGTTTCGAATAAAAATTTGGTTGGAACACAAAAAATCAAACAATACGATGCAAGAAGGGGTCTTTTCAAAATCAATACAAGATTGTGGGTGGTTCCTGACAGGATGTTTGCAATCCACCCAGTTAAGTTATTGTTTAATCGAAAGGAACCATTTCCAGTTGTTTGCACATTGTTTGTTTTAAAAAGACAAGACCGTGCCTGCCCACTGCCCAAAGCAATGCGAACCTACACACTGACTATTTTGAAATCATGTAGTATCATTATAACTGAATGCTGGTGCGAGATTGCAGGTGCTATTTGCTGCCTTGTTTCGCATTCACAAGCAAGAAACAACACGCAAAAACATTTGTCACATCCCTTCCCTTTTGTTTCGGTTTTTCCCTCACTGCTATGACTTCATGAAAGATCCGGGCTGCCCTTGGAATCCGGACTTTCTGTCTGGACTGTGCAAGCAGTAAGAGGTCCTAACCAGTGACCACTTGTGACCGTCGGTTAACTGACTCTGAAGATGCAACCAAGCAGATGGCGCACGTGCTGCTTCACAAATGGTCCTGCCATTGGCTTGGTGCTTTCTGGCCTCATGCCAAGACAAGGGCAACGTGGCAAGAAACTCAAATAACTTAAACAACGAGCGGGAAAGAACTGGTTAGCAAGGTTTATCGAAATAGGGTTACAACATGGCAGGCCCCAATTCATCCCAATATACCTATTCGCCGGCCAGCGACAGTACCTGCAGTACTTGGGCCATGGCTAGTTCGCCCCTTCTTGGACAAAAGGAGCCGTTCCTGACCTATTGATGGCACGCGCGCGTGCAGTTTATAGCCAGTTGATGTGGACATTTGCGCGGCAACAGTACGTGTGGACATCGATGTGTTTCCATTCCTGCTCTATGGTCTGAAACAAAAATATAATACTGCTTTGGCGATACAGCAGTCAAAAACTAAACGTACATATTATGTCTATGTAACTGTATATATATATAATATGTGTATACTGTATACACCCATGACATTACATAACATATAAAATTGTAAGATACATATACCGAGACCCTCCGTTTGTACCCCAAAAAACGGTGTCCCATAATGAGCCAGTACTTTAAACATTTTGTGGGTGCTATTTGGAGGAATTAGGTACATATATGGGTATGAGTCAAACTTAGGTACCCCCACGGTACCCCAATACTTAGACGGTTAATACTCGTAAATACTTACTATAGAAGTCTTAAATTTGACAAATTCCTTGACAAATTCCCATAAGTTACATGTCCGACATTCATGTTGTTCATGTAAAATGACAAGCCAAGGTCCGCCTGTGTTCGCCAACTGAGAGGAAAAAACACGCTGGTTGAGCTAAAGGGGGGGAGAAGCAGCATGTTTTGCCATCAGAAAATACCAAACACATGCACTGATAATCTCTCTCTCTCTCTAAATATATTTATATATATATATATATATATATATATTATATATATATATATCAATAGAGGTGCAAATCATACAATTAATATTGATAATAGTGAAAAAATCCCCGGCAAGAGACCCCAAACAGTGTGGGGGGGTGTGGGAGGATCATCATGATGATGATGGTGATGATGATGATGATGATGATGCGGATGACGGTGTTTAAGGATGATGGTGTTGAGGACGAGGAGGTGCAGGAGGATGATGTGGAGGATGATGATGTCGAGGAGGACGATGTTGAAGAGGATGAGGAGGAGGATGATGTTGAGGAGGATGAGGATGAGGATGAGGGTGGTGATCTTGAGGAGGAGGACCGATCCCAAGACCGAGGACCACACTTTGTGCGAGGAAAAATACCGGGCTGAAACCGCCTACCCATAGCTGACAGCGCTCCAGCCCAAGCTACAATAACATGAATGAGGAGCCCTACCAATGCACAAGCTTCCATGGTCACAACCCTGACTGAAGGCCTTCTGCAGGCCGGCAATGAGACCGCAAAGCAAGATCTCTTCACTGTAGGCATGTTCGATGGCCCACAGCGCTTCACACCAAACCTGACCTGCCCAGCAAGCAGGTCTGTTGCCATACAGGGCAGCAGGCAAGATGGGGTCAAGGCATCGAATGGCAGCACGGGCATGGAAAGAGCCCCGGCTACGGTACAGGAGGCCAAAAATTGTTATTGGCCTATACTCCATGACATCTGTAGGCTCACTGGTTTTGGCTATGCAGGCAACCTTGCCGTCAACCAACTGTGATGGCCATTGTCCAGTTTGCTCAGCTTCAGTAAAGATATGGCAGCGGCAGAACAGCTGAAGGGCTGGCCTTGGCACACTCTTCAGATCAAGTAAAGGCACCCCATCCAATCCAGCCGCAGTTTTAGCCTTCTTATGTTTGATGCTGTGTCGTTCCCATCGTTTGTTTCCAGGCAGAAAGAAAAGCTTCTGCCAAACCATGCTTGGTAGCGGTGCAGCGCATCTGAGAAACCATGGAACCCTGTTGGATCAAGGTCGTGTCTTCCACCCAGAGACAATCCGGAGTGATATGAATGGTTTGAAGTCGGACACCTTCGCAAAAGATGGGCTGAGAATCATGCCAACCCACATCATGATCAAGCACAACGGCTCCATCCTCTCGGACTTCCACAATTTTGGCCTGCAGTGGTTTTAGCATAATAAAGTCAACCCCTTTTGAGGGCACTGCATGCACGTCCTTGAAGACCAGTTGAGGATTGTTCTCTCTACGAAGGCGGGCATACTGTTTGGACGTTTTCATGAGCTCCAGTTCTTGCTCGCGCGCAGAGACAACCATACTGTCAAAGATCGCAGTGGCCACAAGACAGTCAGAGGGGATCAGAGGGAGCCGTGCACCATGGAGCTTGGATTCACACTGCTCCCACCACATTGGAAACCCCCATCAAAACCATTGGCACGGAGGATTGATCCCCAGGTGTCACAACCTTGTGAAGGCCCGACATCTTCGCATTGACATCTACTGCTACGCTAGTGTAAAAACCCGCAGCACAAGCACCATGAGAGAACCCGCCGAATCCACTGCACGTCATGTGAAAGGACCTTTGTGGAAGCACCTGCATTTGCCAAAGGCATGGGAAACTGTTGCTTCAGGACACCGTTCAAAATGGTATACCGTTCATGACCCATCTCGATCAAACCAGAGTAATGGAAAAAACATATCCATCCCAACCACTCCCAAAAAAAGATGCGCATCATGTCCAGGATTAAAAACAGTGACCACAGCAACCAGATCTATCAAACCATTGTTGACCGAGGCAAAATCCATAGGATATGGGAAGGCCATGGAACGTTTTGCCAGCACCTCTGGCAGGATTGAACCACCACAGCTGTTCCAAACCACCAACCACTTAATGTTGACCTATGTCGCCATATTTCGTTCTTTTTTCCTATGCCTTTTCCAAAGGTCATCCCATAAAAGTGCATAGATTGGAATCAACAATGCGCACAGCGCACACTTAACAATAACAAGTATACATAGATGACATGTTGCGTATATCATATACATATATCAAATTGCATTTAATAAACATTTAAGTAGGACTATTCTGCATCAAAGCAGTGGTCATCTTTCAATTGATCCACTTTTTATCGCTTGATCCCAAGAAGTACGACCCATATGGATATGGATGCTCCGAACAGCTGCCTCCTAGAGCTTTCTTGAGAAGAAACATGAAGCAGTTCGGAAAAGTGAAGCTCACCACAGAGAGGGCCCATTCTACTCAAGAGATCTTAAGAGTATGCTCTAAACATTTTCCATCTTCAAACCATACTGGAGCCCTCGAGTATAGCATAGTATAGCTAGCCAACCTGATCTTACAACACCTTAATACCTTAGACATCTTCAAACCTCACTCTTGGCACCAACAGACTGAGGCTTCCGCACTCTCTCCGCGCGATGGGTCTCAAGACCATCCATGATGGGGCACCGCGCAGAGGTGACCAGAAGTGTCACCAATTGTTGTCGGATGCAAACATGGAGGTTTCCTAGAAGAGGGATACCCCCAAATCATCCATTTATAGATGGGATGTTCCATTCTAAACCATCCAGCTATTGGGGTATCCCTGTTGTAGGAAACCTCGATAGATTCATAAGTTAATTGCTCATGCTTGACTCTCTACATGGTCAGCCACCCCATAATTACCAAATCTGGCCTGCCACAGCTAGGTCATTCGCCAAAGTAAGCAACCAACAGGTTTGAGAATCCAGAACTATAAGCAGACTCAGCTGATGCCCTAGCCACACAATAGGCAATGAGGCTGAAATCTGGGCACGTGGTGCACATTGGACCGCCAAAAAAATCCCTGCAGCAGCTTGTGAAGGCCTTCCGCGTGTTGAAAGGTGGTCACTGTGCTGGGAAAATCATGGAACTATTGGGGGGTTTTCCACGCCATGGAGCTGATCAACAGGGGTTGTAACCAATGTTCCACTCATATTCCACACATATGACCAGTAGTATATTAACATTAGGTGTATGTATATATATATATGTGTAATAATAATATATAAATATATATATACATGTAATAATATATATATATATGTAATAATATATATATATTTATAATATATATATATGTATAAAATATACACAATATAACACCATTTGCAAAGGTTTACCAAGTTCACATGCATCCTGGCCAGTCTCCCTTTTTCGTCTCGAGCAGGTCCGCTTCCGGTGACCAGTTGTGCCTGGCGCGCGCGGCCGCGGCTCCCGGCAGCTGACGTCAATATCTGGTTGCGATCTTTACCTGATTTACCTAGATAATCCAAATAATATTCGAATAATATAACTCAATAGTTATAATAACATTAATCACAATAATAATAATGATATATATATATATAATAAGCAAATAAAAAGATAGATAAATAGATAAATAAATGAATAAAAAAGAAAGAAAGAAAAAAAGAAAAAAATAAAGAAAGAAAGAAAGATACACAAAATAAATAAAACAAATATAACATATACATATTTAAATATATATATATATATACATACACCTGCAGACCCTCCATATCCCCAAGAAAATGTTAAAGTACTAGTTCATTATGAAGTAAAACAGCATTTGTATGGGTGCAACGGGAAGGTCTAATAATCCTGTATTTGTTCGGCTTAGTAAATATCTCAATTTATGGCAGGCTAAAGTACCACCTAGATAACCATCTCGGTTGACCCATGGTTTTACAATGTTTAACAGCAGACATGAGTCCATGCAGCAATGCCAACCCCGGACATTGCATAAACTCTGACGGTTGGCGGAGTGACCAAAAGGAGTGATAAATCAGTAAACTGCTACCACTCACATTGAACAGATGAAACTGGGTATAACCTACCAATATCCTGGTATAACCCAGGGTCCTAGGGTTTATACAGTTTATGAATAATCGTTGATCTACTGTTGCTTGATAAATCCTGGTAGCCCCAACAGTCCGTTGGACCGAAGCATGGGACCCTGGCTTTGGGATGGCAGCCACCGGGCTTATAACCTGTGGTGGTATATGAAAAAACACATCCACATGGACATAAACATACATATATAATCATAAAATTTATAAACATAGTAACATATATATATATGATAGTATATATATGTATAGTATATGGTTGTTGATCAAAATTCCTTTATCCCGGAACGGCCATTCTTCGCGAATAAACATTTTACTTTCGCGAAACTTCCGCGAACTCCATGTTTATCTTTCGCGGGGCCCATGTTGGCCAACAACACCTCTTATAAAGATTCGTTCATCACCTGCCAAATTACGCCAGAGAATCAGGGATTACTTCTTGATAGCTTTTTAAACATGCAGCTAGCATCACGGAATCCCTTCTCAGGGCAGATTGTTGCTAACTAGGTTTTTTGGTAAGGTTTAATGGCCCACCCCCTTCAACATGCACTTTGACTTTCGCCCGCTCTTTCGCATAACTTTCGCGGAACTTTCGCGAAAATATCCCTATTCACAGACCCAGGCCATCAGCAGGGGGTGCATTGAAGGCAAAGCGAACACCAAGGGCCTTGGTGCTTGGCTCTCGCAAAGCCTCACTTTTGGAAACTTGGCTACTGCATTTAATTTGGAGCCTGTTTCTTGAGACTTCAAAAAGCATCATTAGGTAGTGACAGCGGCAGGTGCAAGGATGTGCTTCAGGACCATGGCGTTTGGCTGTTGCGAAGTCTCGCCTTTGGAAGCTCGGCTGCTACCTATGAAGGACGTGATTGTCCACAAGCACCACCACACAGGGAACTGAACCAGAACCAAACCGAAATTCTTAGTGCCCTTCTCCTGCCGGACCCCGGGCGGCAGTGGGTGGCAGCCCTTTACATAATGATTATGATATCCAACTTTCGCGAAACTTTCGAAACAAAATTTTACTTTCGCGAACTCGAAAAAAACTTTCGCGAGGGTTTCCAACATAACATGCACGGCTTTCGCAATTAAAACTCCTTACAAGGACCTTTAGATCGATCACCATATATAGTCTCTGGACGTGTCATTTTTGGAGTGACTCTTGGTAAAAGTAGACTCAGACAGGCTTTGCCACAGTGCAGCGAATCTCAGATACAATCCTTACTGTAGCGATCATCGATAGTGAATGTGCAAATCGGTAGCAAAGTCAGCCAGTTAAAACCAATTAAGTTTGTCTTGATTGCCCTCCTGGCTATATAAATGATGAACAACGAAGCAGCGGAGCTTGACAACGGCTTCAAGATCATTGGTGGTACCAGTTTTAAGTCTAAAAACAAAATGTAGGATCAACATATACATAAACAATCGTAAACATAGATGACCCACAAGCCTTAATTTTTGCCAGCCTAGCAGCATAACCTTTTCAAATGCTGGAGTCTTCAGTCCCTATGCCCAATTCTTCCAGGTTCCCTGTCAGCACCATTTTCCGCTCGAGAAAATGATTGATCATTTCTTGGGCTCCTGCATGCGCTGGTGGTGGACAACTGCCAGGACAACTGCCATGCCTACCTAGGTGCTAAATTATGGCTACATTAAGATCACCGGAGGGTAACTCATTCAAACAATGAATGTCTGGATGTACCTGATAGATGAAAAAGCATTCAGAACATACAAAGTATGATATTACTTCATGTGAGACGGATGTACATGAGATATTTATAAGTGCACGCACATGTGCTTTTGAACACACACACAAAATAAAATATGATACCCATCCAAAGCTAGGAAATGGGTCAAGTTGACAAAGGTGGATTGGGGTCCAGTCTCCAAAGGATCAAATCAAAAAACAAAACAAAAACCCAAGGATAGGTTCCAGGCTCCACATGTTTGCGTTCTTTTCAAACATAAATCACCAATGCCATGAAATTCAAAGCAGACTAATTAATGTTCATCAATCACAGTGTCAAATAGGATGGACAAACAAGTGTATTTGAAACCAGCAACCAGCTCGCGAGGCGACTTGCGCCCAGCAGCATTACTTACTGAAGTGGGTCGATTTCTGCCCCAACACTGGAAATGACTTGGTGTGTCTCCCATGTCTCACTGCAAAGCGATAATCATAGATTCTTGCCAGACTGATCCTGAGGTATTAATAAGAGGCTATCTATCTATCTATCTATTTATCTATCTATCTACCTCTCTATCTATATTTATATATATGTATATTGTTTATCTATATTTATACTAAGTATCAGAAAATCAATATGTCGTTGCTGTCGTTGCTGTCGTTGCTGTCGTCGTCGTTGTTGTTGTCGTCGTCGTCGTGGTCGTCGTCGTCGTCGTCGAGAAACCATTACCCATCTATAATTATTTTACATTTACATATGCCAACTGTTGTCAGTAATAGAGATATAGTTGCCTCATGTTGCCTCAATGCCTGCTCTTCAATTTCTCCAAAAATATGATGTACCCTCCGGTGATCAAACATGGAGAGCTGGAAAATCCAGCATTTAGACACCTCCATCTAGTTCGGGGAATTCCAGCCACGGCAATGATGACACCGGAGGGCACCTGCCTGGCTCATGGGGTTTTAACACCTTCACGTATGGCCCTTTTTATCAATGTTCAACGGTCATCAACGGTTGAAAGATTTTCATTTCAATGGGGGTTATACTGTTATACCTTCCATGAATCGGCTTATTTAACCTTACTGGTGCTAAACGTAGGGCATTTTCGGGAATGATCCACTGGCTAACTATCAAGTTCATCATCCCAGCAACCCCCAGCAACCCATCCAGCAACCCTGCGTAAAACGCACCAGTCCTCCGCGTCCGAAATCTTCAGATCAGCTGCCAAGAGCACATGGTCTGATGGCTGCCTGGGATGGGAGGTGGTGCCCCAGGGGTTAGCTGAGTTGATAACTAGATTAACCAAGAGTTTCTGGTAGATATGTGTGTATATATTCAGTAAATATATATGTGTGTATATATATATATATATATCTATGTATATACATTTATATACATATATATATATATACATTTATAAATATATATGTATATATACATTTATATATATATACAAAACATATTTATGTACATATATATATATGGGTGTTACAAATCAATTGATAGCTGGGCAGCACCACCGCAACAAAAAACAGTGTGGTTTATTCCAGCACTTTGCCACTTCGTATACTGATAAAATTGCTTCTTCATTGCCGACTCTTGCATACCTGCATCGCCACTGTGAGATACCTCACACAAAATATGTTTGCTCCACTGGTTCGTATATCCCCCATCTTAGTAAGTGGCTTCTACCCCCAGTTATATATATATATAAAAGGAATGTCTCCACATGTATCATATCATAGATATATCTATTGACAGGATTATATGGAGGTTTCCCAAAATGGAGGTACCCCAAGATGCATCGTTTATAATGGAAACTCATCCTATTAAATAGGTAGGATTATATGGAGGTTTCCCAAAAGGGGGTACCCCAAATTGATATATATATATATATATATATATCATCCTAATAAAACGAATGATTTGGGGGTACCGCCATGACTGAAAAACCAAGCGACTCACTGGTGGGATACACAGGATCCCCCAACTTCGTGTCGGGAAGCTCCAGGACATCCACAACCTGCACCGCTATGGCCGGTATAGCCCGAAAGGCCAGATATAAATGGGCTCAAAAAACCGCATTTAAGTAATATGTATATCACCCTAGTTGCAGGAGGAATCCCATGGTTCATAGATTCTGGGTCAGTTCACCCCTCCTCTTCTTTGGACCTCGGCCCTATATAGAAAGCTCTGGACCTTGTGTGCCCAACCAGAGCTTGTCAAGTAGCAACCTCTAGAATATGTGAGAAATTGTGTCAGAGTAAATGTCAGTACAAATGTCACAATACATGTCACAAAATACACTGTATGCCAAATAAAATGCCAAAATTGATGCCAGAACATATGTTGGAATATTTGTCACATGAAAGTTGCCGGAGCAAATGTCAGACTACATGTCAGAGTGTATGTCACATCATTCTAATGTCAGCCTACATGTCAGAAGATATGTGGAGAAAAATGTTCTGACCTATGTCAGAAATCAATGTCATTATATATACGCATCGGCAATGTTGTCGTAATGTTGAAATTATGATGGAGATGACACAAAGTAAAGTATTTTTCAGAAGACCCAGTTTTGAAATGAAATGGTTCAATTGGAATGGTTGTACGCTACTCATGTGGGGATGATTTCCCCAATACATTCACCATCATTGCAGTGACGTCGCGATGTGAGATCGTTACAAATATGTTTAGATTGCTGGTTATTCAAATAAATCACCCTAGAGATTCATATGTTTGCCATTTTTTTTCATATGTTTTGTTGGTTGTCTCCCATTTATGCATCAATAGCTCCCATAAAGACGTCAGGTATTTGTAGCCACCAAGCCATGAATCTCCGCCCGACCTCAATCTGGGAGGAGACCAAGATATAGTCCAGGGTGGCGCGGAAGCTTTCAGGACCTTGTTTTCACTCAACGCCAGGGATGGAACACCAACAATGGCTGGTTGGTGGTATACCTACCCCTCTGAAAAATATGAAAGTCAGTTGGGATGGTTATTCCCATATATTATGGAACATAGAAAATGTTTGAAACCACCAATCAGATGAATTGTTGTGTTTTTAACCAACTATAATGGTGAGATAAATGGGATGTAGAACCTACTTGAACCAATTTTATGATATTTGGGTGTGGCTCAAAATGATGGATACCCAGAAAAAATGAGTGTCGAAGAAGGAACATGATCATGAACCGTCAAATTTTGGGCCACCAAGTTTAATAGATCCAACCATGGGTGGAGCCATCATCTACTTAGGGTGCAGTTTGAGGTGAAAACATGGTTGTTTTGCCAAGGGGATTCAAACATATTTAAACCCCCACAAGTTGGAATAAATAAATATATATATATAACGTTATATTAAAAAACAAAAAACAAAACCTATAACTACAGTAATTAACTATAGGTGAGCTGCACTTCGGAGAAATATAAGATCACAATACATACAGTAATTGACAAGACTTCAAAACGTTAAGGTCAATCTGGATGACCCATTGTATCCAGCTTCCTGGGAGAGACAGAAGACATAGGGCTGTTTATCGGACACCTGGATAGTCTCACTAGTGGTTCCCCTGACATCCGCACAAGGTGGTGCCCCCTAGTTACCATTTTAAACCCTGCCGACTGATTATTTAACAGTTCGCCATGGAAGCCATGGCCCATAGAAATAGATGATCTTCCCACTAAAACCTCCATTTATGGTTGGGATTTTCCATGGCTATGTTAAATAACCAGATGGTACTAAGTATAGATCTACAATTTCCAAACCAACTCAGCTGCTGTAACTGTAGGGCACAACCTCTTGAACATCAACATCATCAACCATTGTCAGTGCGAAGGGAGGACTGCAAATGATGTTTGGATCATGTTGCAAAACACAACGCAACATGCAGAACGTGGAGCCCCCCAAAGATAGGTAAGTTGGTTGAAATAACACGTTTTTATTTATTTATTTGGGCGTTTATGGATGTTCATAGTATAGATATATCTGTAGTTAGGTGGCTTCAAAATATCAACTTGCAACTACAGTAGGGGTCAACACCTTGCAACCACACTGGTGGATGGGACCATTCGCAACCAATTCTCTAACCATCCCCAGCGCGGGAAGTCATCAATTGAGATTATCATCCCACATCATCCAGAAAAATCTCAAAACAGTCAATTGCAATTGTTGGATCAGTATCCTGAGAGATATCCAAAATGTGGTGACGTCATCAATTGTGAAAAACGATTTGATGAAAGCGCCAGCATGTCCCCAAAACGATGGCAAATTCCTTAAATCCGATGATACCCCCAACTTCCCACGTAAATCGGCCAGGCCACAATCCTCTACCCAGGCGTAGTTGGTAAACTCCTCGGAGCTGGGTGCAGGATCGGGGTCATGATGGGTCATGTTAATGATGCGAATTGGGAAACTGCATGGATACATCAAAGAACATGACTCTTCCCAGCTCTTACCCCGCCTGCTCACATACAAACTTTTCATGCAAATTCCTTTAAACAAAAGTACAGATAGCCGTATCACAAAGAACTATCTATAGAAACATCTAGAACCATTGATATATAAGAAACACAACAACCACCACATACAATTATCATATTACAGTATAAATGTTCATCAGTACAAAATAATCACAATCTCTCGTCGAGAATCGCATCAATGGCCGGCAAAAAAATGTGTGGGTGGAATCTCTCGCAAGAACGATGGGAAAGCTGTCCCAGTAAAGAGCATGACTGCCATTTTGAAGACATCTGGGACTTTGCCCATCTTCCGCGTGCGCATCGCTGAGCCCACCTCTGCTTGAGGTCATTAATCAATATATTCAATTTTAGTAAAAGGGAAAAACTCCCAAGTCATCCTTTCAAGGAACGAGTCGAAAGGCCCGTGATCTGGGGTCCACTCACGCAGCGCCTTTGAATGTATACCAAGGAGCAAGTGCCTGAATTCTATATCCAAAGCTGAAATCGTCCGAAACCTCTCGAAACCCTGAAGGTATTCGTCCCGTTTCCTCTCTGGTAGTTTGTCCAGATCTTTCTTGAAATCACTTCCAAATGGTGACTCCTCCCAATCCTTGAGTGCAAACACGACATAATCAAAAAAACTATTGAAGTCCTTCGAGAAATCATCGTCCCTTAAAGCGGTCGAAAGGCGCCCTCTATAAGTGGTTGAAAGGCGCCATACGATGGCGTCTAGAAGTATTCCCTTCGGTCTGCCATCCGAAAAGAACTGTTTGATTCCGAGAATGACAGCTCTGGCTAGAGGCATTTGATCCAAAAACCTGTTGATCTGAGCGGAATTCTCGTAAAAGTTCTCCCCTCCGCGAAGCTTGGGAAAATCCTCGGAGCGTGGATTTGCAAGCACAAGGTCGACAGGACTTCCGTGCATGGTAAAGGTGATGGCAACATTTCCGATTGTGACAGGCAGTTTCACACATCTCAATTTCTCCAGATTTTGTGCCACCTTGCACTTGTCAGTTTCTGTGAATAATGCATCAGCCCGATCACTGCCCGGACGTCTCCTGACCTGAAGATCCATGTCAGGGGCATATGCAGAACCTGTGTCTCTTATCAGGGACCCAACCATCTCGACGATCACATCATTTCCCAGAGCATGGCGGCATGCTGCCACCAATAGATCGAAGTCACACCTGGCCTCCCATGTCCAGCATGTAGGAGATGTGAAAAACGTGCCAAGGAGTGACACAGAAAATCCTCTAGCCAACTCCTCGTTCATCTTATAGAAATCAGTATAGACTTTAGACTTAGCTGTCCAAGGAAGACGGTCCCACTTGCTACAAACTTGTTCAAACGATTCTCTCAACAGCTGGGGATTTTGCAGTTCTGCTCTGCTCCATTCACCAGCCGAAAAAAATGTCAAACCATGTTTTAGATCTCTCCATGGCCATAGCAATAAACCAACACCAAAGGCGCCAACTATGGCTGAACAACGCGCGAGACCACGCTGCCTTGCCTTCATTGGCCACCACAAAGTTGGATTGCTTGGTATTGAATGTTGGCCCACAGTCATATAACTTGTGCAAAACCAAAAGCAACCACTCATTAAGGCAGCCAGCATGACTGTAAATTGTGTATATACATATATATATATACTGTGTTTACACAGTTTAGAAGCATTTCATTCATATAGAAGGTGAATAGGCATGACGGCTTGATATTGTAAGGGCCTTTCACGTTTGGTTCCTTAGCCCTGGAGAGTCTTGTAGCCAAAACATGATCTGAGAATCTTCCATTGTCCAAGGCTTACACCTCCCACGTCACGTAAATTTGTCTTTGAAGTACGTCGCATATGAGAAACAAACTGCAGAACGGGAATGGTTGCGACAAAGGATATTGCACCCATATAGAGTCTTTCAACTTCTTGCACAACCATATATATTATATATTTGGCAGCTATTCCAATACTATCAGTTCCACCCAGCAAGTCAAACAGTTTTATTGCAACATGCCAGATGAACATTGCCATCATTTGAAACCGTGTTCTCTTTGCGGTACTTGTCGCATACTCCATGCATTGTTTTCATTATGTGTGATGAAGTTGATTGAAGTTGTGCTTGGATATGCTTTGGTGTTTCCAAAGTTGACCATTCTGTTTCAAATTTGCAATTCTAATCCCCAACAGGTCTTCCAGTTTTCCATCTATCAAACAAATCGTCCATCAGTTGTTTTGTCAGCATCCTTGTCCTCAACAGTTTTTGCAGCTCCTATCGTCTCCATGTCGCAATTTACCATGCTTATCGATTTTTTATATATCCTATAACAATCTATAACACCGATTTGTTATCCAGGGATTCTTCACTGGGCATTTGGAGTTCCAGGATCAAAGTATAACTCAAAGAAGTTGATCGGCACCAACTTATTACCGTGTTCAACTACCCTCTGGTAAACTAGCATAACTATGGAAAATCACCATCTTTAATGGGTTTTTATCAACTATAAATAGCCATATCCAATAGATATTTTGACATAACCAGAGGGTAAAAGATGTAAAAATCACATCCTCAATTTGGTTGAAAATGTCTTTCAGCCCAGGGATTCCCTCTCAGCCGCCAAGTTGCTGGTTCATGCCCCCAGCGTTGAGCATAGGCACTCTGCAGCGTCCAATCTTTCGAGACCTGACAGGATGGCTTGGACATCGCCAAAAACGTCGACCTGGGAAGTTACAACAAAAACATGCCATATAAGTCAGTGTGCTACACCCATGAACTATATATACCATCTGGATATTTAACAGTTTGCCATGGAAAATTAAATCACCATTTTTAATAGGTAAACCTCTATAAATGGGCCATTCTATACCATCGCTATGTTAAATAACCAGAGGTTATATCAAGCCATAAACTGTACTTATTGGATTTATAAACCAATTCACTGTCAGCCAGCTATGAAGCGTCACCGTCGTCACCGTGTATCATCATTACACATCTTACTGGGAAACATTAGCGACTTGACCCGGGGCTTCAACACAAAAGGTGGCCCCACAGGACTTCTTGGTAACAAATCATCTTTAGGTAACAAATTCCCATATGATATCTATATACAGTATATTATATGTATCAAGAGAGGACACATAGTACATACGAGTAAATGTGTACAGTATACATTCATATAATAAGAGCTGTGTATATATTATATGTATCATACATACCGTATATATATATTATATACTTATAATTACTTTACTTCGAGTGATCCCCACCCTGGCATTTCAAGTCATATATTCTGACATTTTACCTAACATTCTATCTGACATCTATTCTGATATTCTATCTCGCATATCTGCCAGCATTTTATCTGGTATATATTTTGGCATTCTATCTGGCATATATTCTGGCATTTTATGTGGCATTCTTTCTTGCATATATTTTGGCACTCTATGTGGCATTCTATGTGGCATATATTTTGGCAGTCTATCTGGCATATATTCTGGCAGTCTTTCTGGCATATATTCTGGCATTCCATCTGGCCGCTGAGGTCCAGCGGTGCCCACTGAGCTCGGAAGGTCCCAGGTTGAGGTCCAGCAGTGCTCACTGCGCGCGGAAGATGGCGAAGAGATTGGCGAAGAGTTGGCAAGGCGGAAGTGGACGTGGAAGTGGAGGCAGAGGTGGTGGAGGAGAAGGAGGAGGACGAGGAGGAGGTGGAGGAGGTGGAGGAGAAGGAGGAGGAGGAGCCGGAACAGCTGTGATAAAATCTAACAATCCTCACCTGGCAGGTGGGGAAATAACTATATTCATAGTGAACCTTTTGCGTTCCAACAGAAAGTACCAAACAAATGCGTTGACCATGCCACACTGCACCCAGCCCCTGTGCACCCGATGGAGATCTGCCAGTTCCAGCCCTTCATATGCTTCTGGAAACGCGACATCCTGACACCAGTTCAACAGCACATGACTTGAGAAATGGGCAAAAATCCCTATTGGAAGGGCCCCCATAGGTTTCTGTTGGTTTATACCTATATCACCTATGTTTATAACTACACGTAGGTATATCTTGTGTTGGATGGGGTTTGTAACCAAATTACAACTGGATAGCCCCTTTCTCTACTGTCAGATCGGGCAACATTCCATGACATGCGACTTTTAGCCACAAATGGGTTTTCTGCAGTTGATTGGGGTTATGGGGTCTTGTTTATGAGCAGGGTCCATCACTATATAACTCCGGGAAGGGATGCCAAAAATCCAAATACTTCGGCCAAGAATTTCCAAAGCCTATAGGAAAGTCAATTTTCCAATGCATAGTTGTGTTTTCCATTTCACAAAGGGCTGTATTGCAAAACTTGAGACTTGCGATTCCCTATACTGTAGATATCGACAAATATACTTATCTAGCATATATAACTTAAAGGTTACTTAAAGATACTTAAAGCATTCTAAGTGGTGTGTATCTATATCTCTCAATTTCCCCATCCCGAAATCTGTGTTGGTTGCTGGTTTTAACCCATCCCAAAAACATGCTCGTCATCTCAACCAATCATCCCTGTTTTGTCTGTTTGAAAGACAACGAATACTTGGTGGTTCATCACACTTAGTAAGTGGGTTACAACCCCAGTTATAAGTGGATTAACCCTACTTATCCCATTTATAAGTGGGGTTATAACCCACTTACGATTCGTGGGATGAACCACCAAGTAGTTTTTGTTTATTTCATTCCAATGTTGGAGACTTTCCAGCAATGGGACACTGGAAAACTTCCCAATCTTCCCAGCGAATTCATCACACCTTGGCGTCCAGCTGCCCATGTTTCAGCAGCTGCATCTCCGAGTCCTCCGGAGATGTTCACCGGGAAACAGAGGGGATCATCCATGAAATGTGGGGAAACTTGATGTAACCCACCCGGATAAGAACTACCAACTAAGAAGCGTTGTGATATGAAGAAACAAACAAGTGAGCTTGTCTACTTTGGCCATGAGTATCGTTTAAAAACAAACAACATGGGGGTAGAATCAAATAAGTCAGCAGCACATGATGATGAGGCACAGTTTGCCCAAGTGGGTATGTCATACAACTGGTGTGCAGCATGCTCCAAGCAGGAAGCTAATTTAAAGTACAAACAAAACGGAAGACTTGGGGATTTTCAAGTTTTGGATGAACTGTCATTTGGGAAACTCAATTCGTAGCTCCAACTTGCTCGCCATCTTTTCTTGGGAATATGGATAGCCCAATCGCTCCGAGTCGCTCCTTCCATTCACCACTGGATAGTAAATCACCCATATCCAGTAAAGTATATAGTATACTAAAGTACCCATATCATCACAACTCCATATAAAGTTTATAGTATTAAAGTACCCATATTACATATATATATATATGTGTATCCAGGTTTATATATCCCATATCCATACTGGGTCAAATTAGTCCCTACTATCTTCTAGGTCATCCTCAGCAACATCGCCCCTCCTCTGGTTTGGTATTGAAATCACCCACCAGCACCAGCGGGTCATCCTCAGTCAGGCGTCAGATTCTCCGTTGAAAACTTGCGACCGTTGATGGTTCACAAACCCCCAGGTGGAACCGAAACATTGTAGTGGGCAGCGACCTGGAAACTGCATGAATGTTATGATGATGAAGAAATGACCCAGCTGGGTAGTCACATGAAGTCGTCCAATATGAGGTCGATTAATGAATGTGGTCCTCCGCTTTGGATTGGATAGTGATTAGAACCACCATTCTCCAATGAACACCCATCCCCAGAATATATATATATATAATATATATATGATATATATATAATATATGTATATAGTTGCATTTGTATAGATATATATTATACGTATGTATGTACAGTATGCTCATGTCTCGCTTAAATCCCCATGTGCGCGTTCCACCATCTTTGCTGGTCGATAACCTGATTACCAACCAGCTGTTTCCTCATTCTATCCAACAACAGCCATCATTTGGATATATGTGAAATCATGATAAACCCCTTTCTTTCCGGTGTATTTGCTGACATCCCTGGTTGCTAAGCATATATGGGGGTCTGTCTGAAGACAGGGTAATCACCACAAAATCCACTGGATTATAATCATCTTCTCTGTTAAAATAACAATTTCCATCCATACACCCATTATTGGTATCCACCATACCATCTCAATTTCATCCATGGTTTAGTGTCCAAAGAGCCATTTTGGGGTATCATGCAAATGATAATAAATAGCCATTAAAACATGGTTGGCTCACATGTAATCACCACATAATCCTGGATGATATCCAGCATTTTCGGACACAGGCGTCATCCAGGCGTCTGGAAAGTTATTCTTCAGCACCTCCCGAAGGAGCACACAGTGAATGGCCTTGGCCTGCCTGACTCTGACTTGGCGTCTGACCAAAAAAGGGAGACCAGTTGAAGTCAAAGGGGATGAGGTCGCAAAAAAAGGATTATCCTGTGTATAGACATATATATATAAATAGATCATAATATATAATACTGTCTGAGAAGGTACTTAATCCCCTAAATTATTACCCCAAACACTTCCTTGGAAGCTACTTGGATCCATAGGGATAATGTATACTTCCAAAAATAAACAGTCCCAGTGTTTCAACGTCTGACATGAAAACATGTCGTAAGAGACGCAATGATTGTTTGAAGCGCTTTACTATGTTTTATTTATTGGATATTAGATTGTAAACAATAACACAAGAGGGAGTATCTTCAGCATGTTTTTGCGTAAGTTGGATGGGAAGTCCCAAGGCAGAAACACTTAGGAGCTCACAGCATCCCAGTTCCAAAGACCCATTGGACACCGTTGAATGATACCATTTCGAAGCCATGGTTTCCGGTAGCAATTTGGCCAGTTTTTCGACTGCTGTAAAGTGGGGGATGGATCAAAAAACAATTTTACCGTATATTTTTTGGGGACGAACATCCATAACTACCACTGGTTGGTAATTTCAAACCCTCTGAAAAATATTGGTCAATGGGAAGGATTATCCCATATACCAGTAGTACCGCACAAGGCGGTGGCGGAAGTTTCAAAAACAGGAAACCTATAGGAGAGGTTGGTTGTTGTGAATCAGGGA